GCCTAAAGCTAAGATAAGTACAGTCACTCAATATGCTCTTTACAAAACTCATGTTAATTTTCATCAAAAGTGTAAGTCTTATTTTATAGTGACAACCTGAAAAGTTTTGTTTTTATTTTTTAATTGTAAAACTTCGATCATTTTCATTCTGATGTTTTTCTTCCAGAATGCTTGTCATGGTATTTTTATAAAAATACAAAGATATAAACATCAGTAAAACAAATGCATCTGTTATTGTTATGAATATACATTAAACAATAAAATTCCTTAAAAATTGAATATGACATACAAATACTTAATATAAGGCAATGGTTGATGAATCTAGATAGGCAACCATTTATAGTACAAAGGAATAGAGCAGTGGTTCTCAACCTGTGGGTCGGGACCCCATTTGGGGTCGAACGACCATTTCACGGGGGTCGCCAAACAACGCAGCCCGCCATTTTTGATTGTCACTGGAACTGAAACAGTCTTATCTATGAGCTATATTCAGGTATTCTCTTTATACACAGATGTTATATTTTGTTCTTTATACATATACATAGATATACAACTTACAAATTTCTTCAACTGCTACCTCAGTATATCCACTGGAACATTAACAAGGAGTTAGCAACATACTTTTTCATATTTTCAACCACATTAGTAAAAAGGATGATGAATTCAGAGATGATACAAAAGTGGAATCTTTCCATTAAAGCTTTATACAGAGGGACTATCTAAGCACGGACACAATTTACATACACTGTGTCACTTAGACAACAAAATCAAATATCATTGGTCTACCCCTTCCTCCAACCCCAGAGACCCATGGTTGTACTGGAAGAGTTGTGCTAGCCATGTGTATTTGCTTAATCCATTTTTTGAGGTGCGCTTAACATTCTGAAGGAGGATGAAAAAAAAGCCATTTTGCAGGAAGAACCAAACAATTCATATAGATTAAGGCAAGCCTTCATCAAGTGTTGCCAAAAAATTGACTACATTTAACATGTTTAAATTGACTTTGAGAATGATAACACATTTGGATGAAAAACAAAAATCCTGGTCTCAATATAATTAAAATTATATGGTAGAAATAATATTAGTAAATATGTGGGCATTAAATTACTCTATTTCTTCTTGCGTAACAATATTTCGCCTTACCTCTCCATCTCCACCTCCTCCACCATTCAAATTTGGAAAATGGGAGGGGGGAGAGATCATCAGGAAGCACTATGTGACCAGTTTTTTTCCATTTAAGACTCATCACATTTAGGGGATTCAAATCCTTTACAGGGAACTTAACTCATGGACCTTTCATTGTAGATCACTGGTTCTCAACCTGTGGGTCGGGACCCCATTTGGGGTCGAACGACCATTTCACAGGGGTCGCCAAACAACGCAGTCCGCCATTTTTTTCCCCTTTTCCTTAGCAGTGCTACTCTCTTTTATTCTATTGGCTTTTGAAACCCAATAGAATAGACTCTCTTGAATAGAGTCTAATTCTATTGGCTTTCAAAAGCCAATAGGAATTGTCCAGGCTGTCTCTGCCCTGCTGAGCCCGCCAAAAGTCCCATTCTGCAAAAGGCGCTGCACCAGTGGAGTAGTCCTCGACTTACGACCGGTTGAGTAGTCCTCGACTTACGACCGGTTGGGGGGTGTCACGGCATTAAAAAGGTTGAGAACCACTGAAATAGAGTGAAAGGTTTGTAATTATCGTTAATACTGCAGTCAATTCTGTAAGAGATGGCCATTTTCCTATTAGATAGATAAATAGATGATAGATAGGTAGGTAGGTAGATTAGATAGAGATGATAGATAAATGATTTATAGGTATGTGTGTGTGTGTGTGTGTGAGTGAGTGAGTGAGAGAGGGGGGTGGGTCAAAGGGTTGTAGCCCTGTCAGAAATAAGACTAATGATACCCAGAACCCAAAGGGTTAAAGAAACATAGACTCTTTGGGTTGCAGCCCTATACCCACTTGCCCAAAAGAAAATCTGATTGGACTTATTTGGGACATAATATTCCACATGTATAGAATTGCAGTGTTAATCCTAATAGAAGTTTTGGATTTTTACCACCTTTAAACAACTTACATCAGGGGTTCCCAACTGGGGGTGCTCGCACCCTCTGGGGGTATGAGACGATATTACAAGGGGTGCAAAAACTTGGGTTTTCAAAATTATGGTGTATATGCATAATTTTTTGCCGTTATTTTGAACTTTTGTAAAGGGTGCAAGAAAATATCAGAAGCGTTCTAGGGGCGTGGGGTATAGAAAAGATTGGGAACCGCTGACCTACATCTATGAGATATAACCAATTATCTTTAATTTCAAAGGCAGTTTTCTTTGTGGCACGGGAGGGAACATAGCTGCTGTTTGAAGCAACATATTTTTTTATATATTTTTAAGAATGTATCTTGGCCAATAGTGCCAAATTTGCAGTTGTCAGGAAAGAGAGAGAGAGAAAGGGGGGGGGGGAACTTGTACCTGAATGAAGTGAGTTCACCTGAAATTAATAGAACTTTTTTCTGAAGAAGATTCAAGTGACTGCTTAAGCAGATTGTTCAAAAATGTTTTCATCTAAGACTTCAGGACTTTCAATTTTAGGTATCTGATTATTATCCCAAGGTGTGATCAGCAAAATTATCATGTCTATTATTTACTTTGATCAGATTATTTCACACTGTTTACTTCTGAATGTAAATAAAATTGCATTTAGTATCTTAATGAAAGTGTGGTATTTATCCAATAAAGAAAGCTTTGCTTAAACTGGTTTTACATAAAAAATGAATTTCTGAAATCTCTGGTTTTATTTCAAAGAATGAGTTTTGAACAGTATTTTGGATAATAGAGTTGGACATTCGTTCAACCTGGAGATAGTAGTTGTTCCAGCTTTGCTTTCCAGTTCCAAATATAGGAATTGAAATGTAACATTTTCACAAAGTTATGCGTAGAGGTTATTTTTCTTCCATTCAATGGTGTCCAGGTCTCAAAGATTACCTGGACAAGTCCCTTCAGTTTTCTTAGCAAGGTTTTTCAGAAATGGTTTGCTATTGCTTCCTCCAAGGGCTGAGAGAGCGCAACTGGCCCAAGATCACCCAGCTGACTTTGTGCTTAAGGTGGAACTAGAACTCACGGCCTCCCAGTTATTAGCCTGATGCTTGAATCACTACTCCAAACTGACTCTCTATATGTATAGGTTAGAAACATGTTTTTTCTTAAAGTAAAATGCAGGTACTGGCTATTGTTGAATAATAGGAGAACCTGTAATTTTTAAAGGGTAAAGTTTTTGTTAGTTCCCCTTCTTCTCAGTGAGATATCTAAATAAAATAGTTGTTGTTTTCTGCTTCTCTGCATGAGCATCCATTCCCCTTATGTCTATTAGTATGCATATGCTAACTATGCATATTGGGAAAGCAATTTAAAGACTGGTCCACACATTCCTGGTTTTCTATTGCTGTTCTAAGCTTTATTGGATGAATCTGCATCTAATTTTTAATTTGTAAATACAAAACCAAATTCACTCTGGCACTACTTGCTTGCATAAAGCTCCTGAACAGTTTTCTGCCTTGAATAAATTTTGCTTTGCAGGGGGGGTCACGGGGATTTGAACCAGCACATTCTTGTGTGGTTTGTGAAGATTCACATGGTAACCATTGGGGTGCATTGTTAGGTTTATCTGAATAAGCACCAGCCATGTGAGGCTTAACATGATTGCTCAGGGCAATGGACAGGGAAGAGAGAAATCCAAAAGACTTCCAGTGCCTTTCCTCTGTTTTTTTTGGAAAAGTTGATAGAGGACACCACATGAGTCAGAAGCTATGGAGGGTTTTCTGTGTTGTTATTGTTGTTGATTTAAAGAAGGTGGGTGTCCTGTTTCCCTCCTGCTTCTCATTTGTTCCTCTATCTCTCTCATCATCTACTTCTCCTTCTCTTCATTGTTTACCTTCCTAATGAGGGAGGCGGGATATGGTGGTAGTTGAGTGACAGATACAGGCCCTTGCTGTCTGGCCTCTGGAGCAGTTTGTTTGGTGTGCTCCAATGTTAAAACTGCCCTTTTTAATGAAACATCGATACTGTTTGTCTTAAAAGAAGAGATATCAGCAAAGAGACCTGACTAAAACTATGCTCAAAACTATGACAGAATCTCATTCTTTTATGACCTCTTGAAATAAAAAAAATAAAGCAAACCTAAACAATAGAAGAAAAAGATATAAATTCTTACGTATGCAAGTATTCATATTGTGGCGGTCTACAAATCTGGAAACTTAAGATTCTGTGAACTTAAGATTCAGTTTATTAGAGAAACTAACAAACAGTCTGAATCATTATGGAAAAAAGTTGAGTAATATTATTTAGTAGATGTACTTCGATTTCATAGGAGGCACTAATTGTTGATTCTTATTTTAAAATTATTCTGAGGCACCTAGTGACCAGTGTGAGTATTTTCAACTGCTAAGATATAGCAAAGGGTGAAAAAGGAAAATTATAATCAATTTGGAAGAGAAAGGCAATTGCATTGTGGTAAAAGTTTTATTGTATGTTGTTTTGCAGTTTTCAATCTCTATCTTTTTCTGGTTCAGAAACAGAATCTCTGTAATACACTGGAAGGGGGTGGAAGTTATTTAGGAAATGTGTAATAAAAACGAGTGCATAAACATTAATAAAAATGCAATCTTTTGTGTATCTTCTCTTAAATATGATTTGTTGAGTAAAATGTTTTTTCCCCACAAACATGAATATAGGAAAACCACAATCCCTCCCCCAAAAAATTTTGTTTCATTTCATACATATTTATGTTATTGAGTAGTATTACTCAAAAATTTTTCATAGGTTTTTCTTAAATACTGCTGAAAAATATTGGGTCTTATTTTATCAAATAGAATCTGAAGAAGTCAAATTAGATTTCTTGTAGTTATACAGATCCCTAGGGAAACCAGCCCGGTGACACTTATTTGTTTAGATCATATGTATATTAAGCTCTCAAAGCACACATTTCTGGATTTCTTCTCTTTTCAGACTGGCAAAAGACTGAAGCTCAGAAGAGGCGGGAGCAACTTTTGCTAGATGAACTTGTTATTCTCGTTAATAAACGTGATGCTCTGGTCAGGGATTTAGATGCCCAAGAAAAACAGTAAGTTTCATATTTTTGAGGAATGCCAATAATAAGATCAAGTTTTCTTTGCATTGTTCTTAAAGTTTTATATTCAAGAAAAAAAGCCTTCAAGAGAAGATCAATCATCTGGCATAGAAGCAATTAAATCTCCTTAAGTCCTGCATTTTGGTAACGTGATCTGCTACTAGTTCTTACCTATGGAAACAGATGGTGTAACCTGGTCTCTGAAGTGACTCCCTAAACTCCTTATCTGTGCATAACTACTACACTGAAATGTAAGGCAGAATTTTGATAGGAAAACTACTGACAATTATATCTGATTTTTTAGGGCTGAAGAAGAAGATGAGCATTTGGAAAGAACACTTGAACAAAACAAAGGAAAAATGGCCAAGAAAGAAGAGAAATGTATCCTTCAATGACTTTCATGGCCCCAGATGCTGTCACTTTTTGTAACTTCAGCCTTCTTACAATTTGGATATATGCCAACACCAAGACTAGATAACTAAATCACAAACTGACCTCTTAAAATTTCAGAATTTTCCATTTGGCCAGATCAGCTTTATCTTAAATTGTTTTCTGATTCTCTTCCCCCTTTTCATTCAAGCAACAGGGTTTCAGAAATAGCTTTCCACCAGGATTTTTTTGTGGGCTTAATTATTTTAAATAAGTTTGCTCCCAAATGTTTAAGCAGCCATCCAGTTGTGTAAGAAAAGAGAAAACCCTAGCATTATATTTTTAGTTAAAAGAACTTGCAAATACATTGTTCTATGTAGTTACATAGTACAAAAAGAAGGAAATATATGCTCAATTGTTTCCTCTAGTTCTGCCATATGTAATATTAAATATGTTATCAACCATTTTATTGTTCGATCATACTCATACAATTTCTTTCAATGTGCTATATTTACATGCTTTTTTCAGCTGCAGTTTTACACTTTCATTGTAAGTACAATTATAAAATTTAAGGCTTTCTTATGTGCTCAGAGAGCAATTCTTTTTAACCAATCTTTTAAGAGACTTGCAACCTAAAAAAAAAAGTGATTGTAAAGATAAGGCTAATTGAAGTATGATCAGTTTACAGAAAATTCTTCTTTTGAGGCTACCCCATTTTTTATTAATTATTTATTTACCTGTTAGTTTAGTTCCCCTTTCTTGATCTTTTGCTGGACCTCTGCAGTCTGGTTCTACAGTGCTGTTAATATTTATTCTGTATCCATCAGGGGTCTGTCTTGCCATTGTTTGCAAAATCTTGCAAGTAAATATATCCTTCTCTAGCATCATGCTCATTTTTGTGGAAATGGTTATGTTTATTTATTACAATACCAAGTTATGTATAATTTTTCAATAAAAGCTGGATCTTTCTTATCATAGCTGGACTGGGCTGTTTTATTATACATTTCAAATCCAGGTATTTCTCTAGGACACTGTGGTGTAATTGTCAGCCCAAAACACACACACACACACACACACACACACACACACACACACACACACACGTCTTTCAATTTGAGAAATTCGAACTAATTGGGAGAGTATTAATCTCTTTTTTATTTGTAATCATTATAAATGACTTATTTATTGTTTAATATTTAGAGTTATTTTACAAATGGGTTACACAAAGATTAGGCACTCATCTGTCCCTGTAAGTTTATGTAAATTACAATAATTTGTTAATTTGTTCAGCTACAATAATTTGCTTTTATTCATTGAAAATAAATACAGCAGAATTCTGTGAAGCAAACTGCTTACAAATTGCTGATGTGCTATATGTGTATCCAAAGTTTTTTTAAAAAAAAAAATCAGCATATTCCACATATCTCTATCAACAAATGAGCTGTATTGAGCACAGGGCTTTCTTCCAGATAAAAAAATGTATAAGATTTCAGCCTAAACTACTTCTTATTTTTATAATTAAACCTGTAGCCCAGGATCTGGCATTGATACACTCTGCCCTGTTCAACAAGTCTGAAGGATGTTTAAAAAACAGTGCCAAGACAAGTAATTCATTCTTCTGAATGTGAGTTGAATTGATTTAAACAGAAACTGGATCAGGTGGGTTTAACTCTGAAAAAAATTAAACTAAAGGATTATTTGCAGTGGAAAAAGTTTGGAACAGAAGTAGGTCTTACAAATGTGGAACCTGTTCTACTCCTGTCTGCACAGAGCTCAAATCTCTTTGCTGTTTGAATGGATGTAAAATTCACCAGAAAACTTGGAGCGGGGTGGGGGGGGCAGAGAGAGAATCACAATCTAGATATGGGACTTATATTGGAAGGGAGGGGGAACAATAAGCGTTGCAAGGAGAATCCCCGATATGTTACAGAATCCACATCGTGAATAATCCGGTTAAAATGATAACAAGTGCCAGTGTAAATACGAGGAAACTGCACCTTGTGCCTTTGGATGTATTCATAATGGGAATCGCTTTCTGCCGGGCGTTCATATGCTAAATGAATTAAACCTCTTATCTTCGTCGATGACTGGATGAAATTCAGGACAGAACCTCTCTCGCTCTTTTCTCCCTTCTACCCTCCCTCTCTCCTTTTTCTCCTCCCCCTTTCTAAATCTCCCCCACGCCGTACGCGACCTCCTCCTCCTCCTCCTCCCGTATTTCTGCCCCTTCCTTGCCTGTCTCTCCCCCCCTCCCAACAAAGGCGACAAATTCCACCGCCTCAGCCTGCCCGCCTTTGGGCCGAAGAGGAAGAAGAGAGACGGGCAAGCAAACGGCGGGGACCGCGTTGCTCTTTGTTACTAGGAGCTCGTTTAATTCGCTTTGCCGGTTCCTGAGAGCCAGATTCGAATTTATTAATTTGCTGTTTAGCGTGTGTCTCCCTTCTCCCCCCCCCCTTCCACTCCGCTGCTTCTCCCGCCCAGTGCCTCAACCAGGGGAGCTCCGCGCGGCTCCGGGTGGACGGCGAAAGACGCGAGGCGCGCCGTTAGCCCCATCTCCCGCGCTCGATAACCCGCGGAAAAACTCCCTTCTCCGGCACTAGTGGGGCTCTCACGCCTCTCGGCGACTGAAAAAGCGGGCAACGTGAAAGGGACGGGTTGCCGCCGCCTCCACGATGAGGGGGGAGGGAGAGGCGACCCCGCTCTCGAGTAATTTGGCCGCGAACGGCCGGTCGGGCTGTGGCGACGCCACGCTTGGACTCGCTGCCCACAGGTGGCACCGGCCAGAGCGGCCCCGTCCGGCTGCGCCATTGGATGGAGTTCTGTTTGGGAGAGGGGGAGGCGGCGCCCGCTCCCCTCCATTCCCCCCCCCCCGGGAGCGAAGCCTTCTTCCCTCAAGGAAGAGTTAAAGGGCGGGGTGAGCAGAGGCGGGCGCTGCTGGGTCTTGGCGAGCCTTTTCTCCCGGCCCTGGCCGGTGGGGCTGGGCGGACCAGAGCAGCTTCTCGCGTGGGGCGTTCAGTCTGAACACAGCGATTGCGCTGGCAGACTTTCAAAACAAAGCGGAGCTTGGATCAAGGCAAAGGACAGGAAAATAACCCCCACGCGGTGGAAAAGCCATCGGAAGGAAATGCCTTGACGCTTAGTGCGCCTTTAAGGGGTCCAGGCATCGTGCTGCAACTTTACTGTCGGGTCCCAAAGGTGTTTTTTCAAGAGGCCCCTGGACTCCCTTTGTTTTTCTTTGAAGACGTTTCGCTTCTCCTCCAAGAAGTTCTACAGCAGCGAAACGTCTGCAAAGAAAAACAAAGGGAGTCCAGGGGCCTCTTGAAAAAACACCTTTGGGACAACCAAGATCTGGATAACTGAAAATCTCCATAGACATTTACTGTCGGGTAACTTCAGTGGCCGCCGCTTCTGGTTTCTTGAAGGGATCCGACTTCCCTCTATTCAACGAACCGCATCTGTTTCGAAGTTTCCATCCTTCGAGTAGCCTTACCCGAAAAAAGTAAACGCCATAGATTTTAGTTGAACTGCGCGGGGATTATTATATTACATTGGAAAGAAAATGGGGTGGGTGATTTGTGTTTGTGTTTCTTTGCCTTCTTACTCCGGACACAAACGACTCCACCAGTAGCAACCGTCCCTGCCCCAAAATAGAAGGGGATCTGTCTCGCGAAGCTCCTCGTCCAGCTTTGAAGGGGATTATTTCCCTTTGTAATTCCCCCCCATTCCCGGTAATTACCGAGAGGAGAAAAAACTTCTTTGTTTCGAAAAAGAAAACTTTGCTGGGAGGGGGGCGCCTTAGGTGTCCCCCACCACACACACACAGTCTCCTTCCAGACGCTGCAGCTGCACCCCGGCGAGTCTAACACAAAGACAGACGCAACCACCGGGCGAGGCAAAGGGACAGAGTTTGGAGAACAGCCACAGTCAAAGCGGGCTAATCTGGGACGCGAGGCGTTGGCGGAGGTTGGGGGAACCGGCCAGATTCGGTTCCTGGGCACTTGGGGCCTCAGGAAGCTTTCCCCCCCCCCTTCGCCCGACCACCTCCTACTCTCGCACAGGCCACTTGGCTTCTCCTTGCACCTCCTTCCCTGCTCGGCCCATCAGCAGCGCCTAGAGAAAAAGAAGGGCTGCTTGCCCTGCTGCGGCTTACCTTCCTGCCCTTCCCTAGGCTTGCCCGGCCAGAAGCCCCGAGGGCGGCCAGGGCCGGGAGTGGGAGCCCGCTGGTTCCAAAAGGTGAAGGAGATGCCCTTCCCGAAGTGATCCTTCGAGGAGCGGGGAAGCCGCCTGTTTAGGCCCGGCTTGCTGGGAAAGGGCCAGGCTAAGAGGCAGGAGGCCAATGTCCTCTCGGGGTGGGCTTCCTCTTCCAGGGGCTCCTCTCTGCCACTTGGGCAGGGAGACTCCCATCCCAGGCGCCTTCCAGCACAGACGCAACTTTTCCTGTGCCTGCTCTCTGGCTTCTCGCCTCCTTTCTGGCTCTGCTTGCTGTGCCCCCCTCTGCTGCCCTTAATCCAGGGGTTTTATGGGCTGAGCATTAAGGAAATTCGCCTGCAATTTGGGATTAGACAAATACTCTTATTACAGGGGGAGAAAACACACGCGCACAAACACAGAGAAAGAGGGAGAGAGAGAGAATGCGTAAAGCTTAGGGGTTTAGTGCTACTTGATACTCTGAGCTTTTCTGTCGACTTGGCCGCCTCATTGGAAGTCTGGGACGGGGAGAACCAGCGTCTGCCAGGCTCATTTCCGAAGGCCCGAGCAATGTTCCCCTACGCCATCCTCCTTTCCCTCTCCATCCCCGGTTCCCCGCCACAAGAGAGGAAGGGGTTATGCCAGCGGATAGGTAGCTGTAAGGTATGTCCGTGGGAGATGATCCAGATCTCTAATCTTGGATGGGAGTATAGCGGTGCAGGGAGCTATTTTGTTCTGAGGATGGGGCTGCAGAAGAAAAGGCTTCCTTCTCAAAGCTCGGGTCCATTCCCCCCCCCCCGCAGCGAAAAATGGTCTCCTAAATGGACAATGTCTCAAGCGACTCAAGGCACTTAGCCCTGCTTAGACTTTGCAAGGTAGTGGCCCCAGTGAGACCCCCTTTGCTTCCCCATCTCCCCCCCCTTTTTTTAGTGAATGGGCTGCGGCGGCTTTGTTCCGCGGAGAAGTGCCCGTGTCGCTGACTTTTGTGGGCAATAGAAGGATCTTGTAAACCTCTTTTCTCCTCTTCTCCCTCTCCTTCTCTCTCTCACCCCCCCCCTCCGTTTGATTAAATGTCCCCTCAACGAAAAAAATGTAATTTGGCCGAGCTGGCGGTCGTTCCCTTTGAACATTAGCTCGCTTTCAACTCCAACTTCAATTAGAAGGAGTTGATTTTGAGAGATCAACAAAAGAACCTCACCAAAGCCTTATTAAAGGTCCTAAGAAGATCTCCCGGATCCTTTGAGAAGCAGTTAAAGAAACAGTGTGCTTCCCTCCTACGCTGTTACCGTATTTCATTGGGGCTCCAAAGGAAAGTGTCTCTCCAGAAAAAAAAAAAAAAAAGAATTCCACTTTGATGGTGCGGCCACTAAGTCCCTTTCCGAAGTCCTTTTATTTGTTTGGTTAGCAACCGGTTGATTCAGAAAAATCGCGATGGTGATTTTCATTTTGCTCCTTATGTGTTTAGAAGTTTTCCTTTTCTGTTAAAACTTTAAATGTAAAAAAAAAGAATTATCTGTAGAGGATTAGTGTTTATTAATATTTATGAGTCTGATACCCTCAATATGGCATGCACTGAGTGTGTTGTACATGTATGTGTCTGAGAGAGACAGAAAGGAGGGAGCAATAGTGTGTGTGCATGTGTGTGCAGGGAAATAATAAGCTCTTCAGTGGAAGATGTAAAAAAAGTATACAAAATGTCTACATATTGCTTACAAATATACATATCAATAATTTAGACTCTGGTGAATGAATGTATAAGCAATATTTATGACTACATAGAGCTCCTGAGAAGAAACATCCGAGCCACAATCCTGAACATATTTTCCCGGGATTAGAGCCCATTGAAGTCAGTGGGACCTCTTTATGGACATATATAGAACTACTATAGAAATCTTTCATGGACGTTGGGATAATGTTCACCAACAAAAGAGCGTTTTCTTTATTTCGTTGGGACTTACTGCACAACGAAGAGTCATATCAGAGAAGATTTTGGAATGGTGTTTGATTAAATATGTGTCCACAAGAACGGTCCTTAGCAAAGTTCTTAGGGGGACGGTACTTAATCGCATATTCCGTTAGACATATTGGCATACGCTATTTAGCGGCAGGTATATAGAGAGAAAAGCAGTGGCAATATCTATATAAGATAGATAACAAAGACTAAAAGATATAAGTTCTTGTTCGCTGGTAGTAGGCAAACTTACGCAAAATATCCGAATTTCACATTAGCCTATTCGTGCTACCCTATCTTTCCTTTTCTGCTTCAAAGAAAACAGGCGAATCCCTTGAAATCCATGCATTAGGAATCTTTGTTCCCCTGTTCTGAGTATAAAGGCCATTTGGTAACTTTTTCTGCGCTCAAAACCCGTTCTTTGCCAGCCACTACGTAGAAGATCTTTTTAAAGAGTGTATTTTGTTTTTTAAACTGCGTGGCAGATAGGCTGGACTCTGCAAGCGCTTACCCTATGTTACCCAAAAGGAAAATCCCACTGAACTCGGCGTAGACAGGATTAAAGTTACTTTGACAGTAAGTTTGCTGAAAGAAACTGGGTTTACAAACCAGGGAAGCCGGACCCTGGACGATCCAAATGTCCCAGATTTGATGGGGGCAAACTTCCTTTTGTTGAGCAGTACTTAAAAGGAAAAAAAAAAAAAACAAAACACCCGCTCCTACCCCTAACTTGGAGAGGAGGCCAGGATTGATGGCGAGGAAGAGACCTTTTGTGAGTGAATTGCCGGGGAGGAAGAGCGTCACCTACCACCACCGCTCACAAACTGAGGATTACGCCCCACGTGGTGGTCGCTCCGGGAAGAGCTGGCCCCAAGAGTGTTGGGTGGGTTGGGAAGAGCGGGATGAAGTGGAGGGGGGGGGAAAGCGCGCTTTGGGCTTTAACCCAGCCCGAAGGCGCTTGGACGGGACGCGCGGAGCGCGTTTATACGACGGCGAAAAGCAGGAGGCGGAGGCAAGGCCGGTTTCCAAAGTCAGGCTGGAATTCAAGGGGGGGGGGGAAATCCCCTGCCATGCACGAGGACACCTCTCGCGCTTTTCTCCTGCGGGGCGGCGGAAGGCTGAGGGAGGGAAAAGGCTGAGGGAGGGAAAGAAGCGTCGGCGTCGGCGGCGTCTGGCTCGCGAGGGCAGCCCGCGCGCGATTAAAAAGCCTCCCGGCTTCTGCCGGCTGGAGGGCCGCCGCGGGCCTCCAAAACCCGCAGCGGCAGCAGGAGCAGGAGCAGGGGCGCGAGGGTGTTCATTCTCCCAGGGGAACCGCCGGAGCGGGCGGCCGCGGCCGGTGCCGCTGAGGCAACTCCAGCCGCCTGCCCTGAGGGAGCTGCTGGGAAGAGTTGGCGGCTGAGGCTGCTGCGCGCGCGGCTGGGACTGGGGTGGAGTGGGGGATGGGGACGGGCCGAGGTAGCATTCATCCCGCGCTGCTATTGCCCGGGCGGCTGTCACTCAGCGGCGGAGAGCTTAGCGATTGGCGCCAGCCTTGGTTACGCATTTGCCTTGCGCTCACATACAAGGGTAGGGCAGTAGAAAGGTGATCAATCTTCATCAGGCTACGTTTCCAATCACCTAAACAACCGGGCGAGACAGCTACCGCGACAAGGTAAAAAAAAAAAAAAAAAAGGCGCTTGATTTATTTCACGCCCCCCCCCCCCTTAGGTGAGCTCTCACTTTCCCCTTCCTTTCCCGGGCCGTCCCAACATCACCCTCGAGCCGAGAAGCCCATCCCCGCTTCCTTCTCGCCCTCCTCCCCCCCCCCAGCTTTCTTCCCCAGCTCTTTTGGAGCGTTACGTCCGCGCAAAGGATTTTTTTTTTCCCCCAACAGAGACTTTTCGGTTGCAAAGTATCCGAGAACACTAAAGTTTTGGTTTTGTTGTGGTTTTTTTTTTTTTTTTTCCCTCTGCCGCTGGCTTGGCGCAGCAACTGGCTGAAAGGAGGCGGGGAGGGGGAAGTCGGAGGTGGAAAGCAACCCGCACTAAAACTTTCCCTCCTAACTTTTCCTGCCCTTCGCTTTGCAGCCCTGCCCGGAAAGGGGCCTGGGGGTGCCCAGGGGTATCCCCAACCCCCTGCTCCCACACCCGCCCGCCCGCCCGCCCCGCGGCTGCTTTCCTGCTCCTCACTTCTAAACGGGAATGCGCGGCAGGTAAGCAAGAGAGGAGCCGCCTGGCTTTCGGCAGCTGCCTTCGTTCTCCTCCGGCTCTTCCTTGCCAGGCTTGTGGCAGCGCGCCGTGTGATGCTTTCCCCCCCCCCCGCCGCCGCCGTCCCCCCTGCGCGCTTTCTCCGCGCAAGGGACGAGTTCTGCCGGAGGGGTCGGGATGCGCGCCCCCCTCCTTCCCCCGGGTGCGGAGGAGCAGACCGGCCGCCTCCCGACGGAAGAGCCCGGAGCTCTGGGGTCCTCCGCCCGTCCGTGCCCACTCCACCCCTCGCAAGCCACCGGCGGGGGTCCGCCGCCACTTTTTTGGCCTCTCGGTTCCCGGAGGCACCTGGAAGGCAGCCAACCGCGGACCCCCGAAGGGAGAGGTCGGGGTGGCTCTTCTCCTGCTCGGAAGGCGAACGGCTCTGCTTGGCTTGGGTCTCTCTTGCCCCCGGGAGACCCTTGGCCGGCTCTTCCGGGCTGGCGCCTTCCACCGATGCTTGCCGTGGCCGGCGAATCTCGAGCTCTCTGGAGACACCTTGTTCTTTCCCACTGCTTGGCGCGTCTCCAGCGTTTCTCCATTGGGCAACGGCCGGGTGTCACCCAACCCAACAATAATCGACGGCCAAGGAAGAAGGGAGGGCGGAAGAGTCCGGTCCCGATCACCACCGGTGCACTGACGGGAGTGGGTTCTTGGAGCCAGGGATGGGGCTGAACTCCAAGGAAAGAGGCTTGGAGTGGGCGAGTTCTTGTCCGCTTCTTCCTCACTGGAGGTTGTCGGGCCCCTTCCCTCTCTCCTCAAGCGAGGAGTCTCAGGCTGCAACCTTATGCGCAATCCGCTGGGGACAAGCCCCCCTGAACTTGACTTTAGGAGAAACTAACTCAGCCTTTAACCTGCGTGGCCCAGTCCGCTCTCTTGCCGAGGCCTAGCATGTTCGTTGACTTTTTGTTCGGGTGCCAGCAGGATTTAATCAGCGGCCAACCACAGTTTATCTTTTGCATCTAAGGAAAAGGTTGCTTGAGAGGAATAGATGTGGAAGGAATTTTTAAGGAATAGATGAAGGCATCTAGGTGTTCAGAGAGAGAAAGAAGCTTCTTTGAAAGTACATTTGCAGATAAGTATGGAGAAAAGCTCCAAAACAAAACAGAAAATCAACTTTTCCCCTTGCTTCCAGCCCATGGCCCAATCTGAATAATGTATCCTGACAAAGAAATCTCCCCTGGTCTTAAAAAGCAATGACTGTGGAGTAAGTATACCTGTGCTTCAGCAACCTTACTTATCCTATGCTGCTTAAGTAAACCAGATGGGCCGGTTTTGAACTCTTAATTGTGAGCGCGCGCACACACACACACACACACAGAGAGAGAGAGTGAGGTTAAAAAAAAAACACCTCACCTCACAAATCCAGACAGAACTCTAAATGAAATCTCAACTTGGAGACAGCTGCAACAGGTTAGCCAGCCTGGGAATATGGGTTGTTTTTACTTTGGAATATTTTAACTTAATAGCCTAGAATCAATTTGTTAATATTGGTTCAAGAACTACTTTGCACCACTTTTTTCCTTTCTTGTTCATTCTTGGTGTTTTTTAACTTGGCAATCTTTCTGTGTGAAAATGCATATTGGTAGCAGCCGGGCCTGCAATCTATATAAAGTTTTTGGCCATGGATTAATTGAGATTAATTCTGCCACCAACTGTGTCTTCCGGGTGTGAGTGTTTATGTATCTGCTTGGTTGGTCTGATGTTTGTTCTATTTGGGCTTTTACTTTATTGAAACCACTAGGAAGAGAAAAGTTTCTGGATCAGAACATGGGAACTTAACCTAAAATTTATTTTCCGTTTGGGAATGCTAGCTAGCCCGCCAAGATCCCCAAATCTGTTCTGTAGCTCTTGGGAGTAAATCATAAGGAGGAGAGACAAAAATTTGAAGTTTATACAGTTAAAACTGAACAGCCACATGCACCATGTTCTTTACAGGCCACTTTTATTTGGAAGTCAGGATCATTAGTTTACTTTAGCTTTATTTCTAAATGTGCCTGTTTGAGAGTGTACCTTCACTCTTTTTTTTCCTATACTCCTAGAAATAAATTCTTCGGCATGTGAGGGAAGAATACTGTCCCCAACGTCCTCTGCCCTGTTCCTTCTGCCTCCTTGTCTGTTGGTGCAGGCCTTTTAGTATACGGATTTCAAAGCTGCCCCCCCCCCCACTAACGCTGTTTTTTTTTAGATCATTAGCCATTTCTAATTAATGTGTCTGTTTCTGCTCTCTTTTAAATTAATTATAGTTCCCTCCTTTTGTTATCTCATTTTGATTTCTAATCCAATTATCTTTTTAAATAATTGCTTTATCGCTCTCATCATTGATATTGTACCCCCTCACAGCCCCTTGGCGATTGTATGGTAATGTGGCTGTAGTTTTTTTTTTTTTAAAATAATCTCAGTTTCCTTTTCTCCACCCTACTACACTCCACTCTTTGCCACTTTCTAGTTTTCCTTGGGGGAGGGGGAGGCATTATCCGCCATGTTCTGAGATCTTCTGTGTTAAGGAAGAAACCTTGAAACTGTAAGGCAAAAATAAAAGTAAAATCAGAAACAAAACTTTTTTAAAAATTTGGTTAATTCTTAGAAGCTTTCGTGTACTTGACACGAAAATTAAGTTGCCCTTTTAATATTAAGATCTACCATAACTATATATAAACATTGCAACTTTTTTTTACTGATATGTACAAAAAGACTGTTTTGTTTTGTTGAACATTTAACTTTGCACAACCTGGGAATTCCATAAAAATATTTATATCTTGTTATAATTCACTATATGTTACTTTTGTTGTTTTTCTTCTAGATTGCTGTGAAAAACTCTTCTCTCTGTGGGATTCCTTCAGTTGCCTGGCTGGATGAATATTAAAGAATAATAAAAAAAACATATACACACGCTGCTTGAAAAACTGTTAAATAAGCAAGCAGATAATAGTGTGTGGATAAATCGGAAAAATATTTCCAACTTTTAGTATGATGTCTTACCTCAAACAGCCCCCCTATGGCATGAATGGGCTGGGGCTAGCAGGACCGGCAATGGATCTTCTACACCCTTCAGTGGGGTATCCAGGTGAGCCCCCCCATTCCATCCCCTCTTCTCCCCCCTTTTTTTGTCACTCTTTATCGAGTAGACCCACTCAGGTCATTCCACAGAGTTTGAAAAAAGAAAGAAACCCTCTTGCAAATGGGCATTAAGTGGGGAATTCTCCCTTCCTGCTCTTCCATTTTTGGAAACTGCACTAATCTTTTAGTTCTGTAATTGAGCGTTTCCTAACAATCTTTGAATGCTTTTCCTGAAAATAGTCTCACTATAAAAAAATGAAAAGCACTTTACTAAAACATTAGGTTTTTGTAATGGAGTTGGTTTCGTATCCCTGATTTCTACCTTGTTTCGCTTTTACATTCAGGTAGATAACTAAATATACCAAACGCAGAACAAGTGTGTGGTTGTTTAAAAAGAACAGACTCGAGGCAGTGAGACCCTTTGATAAACCGGATTTTTTTTAATTTTTTTTTTTTAAAAAGGGAAACTTCTGTGAGAGTTGATTTTCCAAAGTGTAGTTGTAAATGAAGACCCGGGGTAAAGAAAGTGGCGTTCGGAAGCTATGAAAGCGAATGGAAGGGGCTGCCCCAGTTTCAAAACCTTGTCCTGAAGGAAAGGTTTTTACAACTGAGAGGGTCTGCAGCCAATCCACATTCCCTCCCCTTCCATCAGCTCCGTGGCCAAGAAACCAGCACAGGTTTTGCAACCGTGTAGAGTCTGATGACAAATCAGGTTCGTGCTAACTAATTCAAGGGAATGCTTCACATCCCTACGGTTGTGAATGGTATAAACTGCCAACACCCTGACTTGAAAGGCGAAGAGCTCACTAGATCAGTGGTAAACTGGACTGGTTTCGCTAGAATTTGTTCCCGTTTGCAGCATTGTAACCTAACACACACACTCCACACACCGAGCCTAAAACGCTCATCGTTAGGCCAGTTAAATGAAGCACGCTTACAATTGCAGCCTTGCTTGGACGTCCTGTGTATACTACAGATGTGGATACTACAGGCTCCTGTGGAATTTTAACTCTGAGTTCAGGTTTTCAGGTAGGGGAATAAACACTGAAACGCCTAGCTTCTGTTTTAACCGCCGTGTTATCCGGCGAGCCAGCCGCTTTGGGCTGTTGTCTCAGGTCCGAGGCAACTCCAAAATCCTCTTTTGCGGAAGGCCCAGCTGCGAGCGAGCCCGCCTGCTTTCGCCCCGTTGAACTGAGGCAGCTTCCCTTCCTCTTTTCGTACCGTTTTCTGTGGTTCGTCTTTATAGGCTGGAAACACAATTAGGTTGTTTTTTTGCTCCTGGCTCGGCGAGTGCACATCCCACCCCCCACCCCCCCCCGCCGTCAGCTTCCCTTGTGGGATCGCCCGGCCCGTTCTATAGAAGTCAATGGGGCAACTGGGACCCTCCGCGGCTGGCGACCCGCCTGCGTCAAGGGATCGGTGGGCGTGGGAAGAAGCGGGCCTGGCCGTCTCTCCTCCCCCTCCTGAATCGGGGCAGCGGGCTGGCGGGGAGGGGGGGCGTGGGGGGGGGGAGAAAGCAGCTCTGATTGCCTCTTATCTCTCTGTCTTCTTCCCTTCCTGCCTGCCTCGCCTTGTCTGGTTTTGGGGACTCGCAGCCACCCCTCGGAAGCAGCGGCGAGAACGCACCACCTTCACCCGGTCGCAGCTGGACGTGTTGGAAGCGCTTTTTGCAAAGACCCGCTACCCCGACATATTCATGCGAGAAGAGGTTGCCCTGAAAATCAACCTGCCGGAATCCAGAGTTCAGGTCTGGGGGCTTTAAAAAAAAGCGAGTCTGGGGCTGGGGAGAGACCGGGGGTCTCCGTCTGCGGGAAGAGGGTCGTTGGGGCGCGCCCGTTGGCTCGGTTCGCCTCCCGCCCTTCCAGACTCAAGTAAGAAGGGTTGCGGGCGATTCCTTTTATTTTAAGGGCTCTTCTCGTCTGGGATCCATTCTAGTCTCCATCTGATCAGGGCCTTTCTGGCGTTCAGTCTAGGCACAGCTCTTCCGCCCTAGGACTGGTATTTATTGGGGCACATTACTCTTCTTCGCTCAGCCGGAATAGTAATTGTGCAAGAATCGACAGGCCCAGTGCTGGAATGGCAGAAGAGCACGCTGAAGATCCCTCTCGGTTTATTGAATCTGGCAACTTCCTTTAGCTGGCTTATCACTTTAGAGGAATCAATACTTTACAGATACTTATTTTCTCCTCTTCTCCAATCAATGTCAAGGCAACGTCCCAGTCCTAAACACATATCAATGGATACACTCCAGCACAAGTTAGTTTTCACTAATTTCCGTGGCAATCAATAGGATTTTATTTGTCACCTCATCTTGAGTCTGCCTACATAAAACTTAGAATGATACTGGATGTAGCACATATGGTGCACAAAGAGTAGAAGGAAGGTTAATTTTTTTCCCTCTTTAATTCTTTCATGTGTCAGATTAAGACTACAAAAGTATTTTAAGATTGCCTAAGCAACTTTAAAATCATTTCACATCCTAATCTTTAATGCACTTGTAACATTATCCACACTTGTTTATCTGGAAATAAATTGTATTAGGACTTATTCAAAATTATATTGGTTAAAATGCCACATTTCTCAAAAGTAAAATCAAATTGATTTAATTGATTTAAAAGGTTTTCTGTTTAAGTGCAGGAGTTACACTGAAAGTTTCTGATGCATCCTCCCCTCCCAATCCTCTGATTGGTGATTTAATTGGGAGTTGAAAAGTGAACAAACTTGGGGTTAAGATTTGGAGTCTTATCCTTGCTCCTTTCTGTGAGGCTTTTAAAATTTATCTCCTCTTCTTTCCCCCACCCCCAGCAAAAAATTATTCTTCAGCAGAATTGAATTTCAATTGTTGATTTGAAACTCAAATCTGGATAGAAGGATAGGCACCAGACTATCTCTTTAGGATGTAAATAAGTGTGTAATTAAAGTAAAATCACACCTTTGTCATGCAAGCTGGATCCTTCCTGTTTGTTTGCTCTCTGTCCTATTTCTCACTGAAAGCAATTTGAAACCATGAAATGAAAGCATTTTTGGGGGGTGGGGAGAACTGAAATTGCAAGTAAATCATACAGTGATGATTTCAATAGATATATGTATGGTTGGATTCAATAAAGCAGGACAGATTTCACATGCAATCATCACACGTTTGAGCTATGAAAAGCGGTGTATAGAACATTTATATAATCTGAAGTAGCCTTAAGATCATAAGCAATATGTTGGGAAGTGATTGAATAGTTGGCCAAAATTGGCACATTTAAATTTCCTGCCATCATTTTTTAAGCTATTGCTATTAACTACTCAGGGATGCTCTATTTCTGAAAGTTGTGAAAGATTGCAGAAATTATATATTGAATTTTTTAACAATAGGAACAGCAGTTTGTGGATGCCTACACATTAGAATAATGGAATTACTAGATGCTTGAATTCTGGACTATATATTTAGGGGCTTGGATTGGTTCAGTGAACTTCCCTTTGGCTAGTCTGCTTTTGGGTGGGGCAAGTAGTCTCTAGTGAGGAAGGCTGGAAAATATTATATGAATTTGGCTTGTGTAAAATCTGAACGAGAGATGGGTGCCCTATCTTGAGGTTATAAAAAAAATGCTAAATCGTGTAATTGATTAATTAATACCTTTGCTATAGTTGTTGCACTACTGGCAGCATTAAGGGTATACTTGTAAGTGTTGTTCATTGTGACTCTGCCTCACACAGTCTGTAATGGGTCCTTCTTTTAAGAAATAGATATAAAATACTCTGCTACAATTTAACGCAATAGAATCTCAGCAGAGGTACATAAAACTCTGGATGCTGTACTCCACAATAATATAGTTGTTAAAATTTATTGCAACATGATTTTTATTTTAATGAGAACTCTTTCAGGAACTAAAATAGACTAGCAGAATAGACAGATGAATCCTAACCTTAGATGAACAATTTACTTTGCCCACCATTTCTGACTCTTAATTTACACCTTTCCACCTATCTTTTCCATAAACTAGTCTTAACATTGACTATTAGGAGTTTGGAGGTCTGATTCATGAATTTTGTTTATTTGGAATGGTATGGCAGGTATGACGTGTAGAGGAAGTGTGGTTGAATTTGACACGTGATATCATCTCCTATTGTCTTAGAAGTGGATGTAGCTGTTGATTGATTTGGTATATCTTGCAATATAAAATATTGATGAACAAGGAGAATAAATTAATTATATTAAGAATCAAAATGCTGTCTTGTTCCATTGAATGCAAGGGAGGATACAGCTTAGAGCTGAATGCTACAGGTGAATGGCTTGAACATAGCAGAAAGTAGCCTGGAAAATAGGTAAAATGGTACACAAGTATTTGGTGATGATATTGAGCATCCTAATCTCTCCTCTGGTATAAACGCAGCTTCTGTTTTCTAATGTAAGACATCATAATATATTAACACTAATTGATAGAGGACTGGCAAGAAGCATTATAGTTTATTGACAGGTTTGGGCAAAATTAAGCTGGCTACAGTGTTGGAAGCCATGGGTCTGAGATCTCTCTCAATCATCATTAGTTTCCTGTCTATATAGGCTTGGGAAGATAATAGGGTGTAAATTCTGTAGTACATCTTGTCCTGCTTGGATTCTTTTACTGAGGGCATCAACTAATGTCTAATCATAGCTTGCTCCTATTATATCTACTTTCTACATACATAAATTCAGAGCAAGGAAATGCATTTGTGAGGAATGTACTAGTGTTCTCCCCTGGACCCTGCCTTCAGCCCTCCCACTGCTATACAGTACTAATAGCTAAAAGTACAGGAAGGCCTGAGTGTTAAAGATTCAGGTACATTTATCAATTCCAAACAAGGTTGATTAGTCAATGGTGCGAGGCTAAGAATGAATATAGAAACCCCTCTTCAAGATGGGGTTATCGGGTTACTTGGTTATCCTGATTCACGAGGAACTATTGATAAAGTTTTGGAAATTGGCCACTACAGTGGAGATATAGCCAGCTGAGTTGATGGCAGTGCTAAGAGAGAGGGGGGGGACATCCTACCAACGGGCAATGAGTGCCCACGTGTTCTTTTCTAGGATACAATGGCCTGCATCAGGGATGCTGCACCCATCCTTGGTGGCTTGGCTTCTCTTCTGCCGGACCCGCCATCCACGGAATGTGCTCTCGGCGGTCCCACCTGAAGGCAACGGCTGTAGCTATTTGGGACGCGCTAAGCCAGACCCGGGGGCTTTGCTTCCTTGCAAGTGGGGAGGTCGAGGCAGGCGGGATCGGAGAAGGGACTAGATTTACAGGGGTTCTCAACCTTGGCAACTTTAAGACTTGTGGACTTCAACTCCCAGAATTCCTCAGCCAGCTTTGCTGGCTGAGGAATTCTGGGAGTTGAAGTCCACAAGTCTTAAAGTTGCCAAGGTTGAGAACCCCTGGACTAGAACGAGAGAGCCAGTCCAGACCTGCTTGGCGACGAACGTAGAGGAACCCCACGAAAGGCGGGATGGAGGAGAAGGGACCGAAGTGGCGAGGGAGTGAGTTGGTCCTAGCTGGGGCTGCGGGGCGGAGCAGGGGAGGTCAGAGCTGGGCCTGCCTCCTCCCTTCGGGTCCCCCCCCCTGGGAGACGAGGGTCTCACGGAACGCTGCCTTTGCCTCTCTTCGCAGGTCTGGTTCAAGAACCGGCGCGCCAAGTGCCGACAGCAGCAGCAGAGCGGCAGCGGCGCCAAGAGCCGGCCGGCCAAGAAGAAGTCCTCCCCGGCGCGAGAGAGCTCCGGCTCGGAAAGCAGCGGGCAGTTCACGCCGCCCGCCGTCTCCAGCTCGGCCTCCTCTTCTTCGTCCAGCTCCAATTCTTCGGGCCCGGCGTCGGGCGGAGCGGCCTTGAGCAACGCGGCGGGCGCGGGGGCCGCAGCCTCGGGGTCGGCCTCGTCGGCCGCCTCGCTGAGTAGCGCGCCGTCGGCCGTGGCGGCCTCGTCCATCTGGAGCCCCGCCTCCATCTCGCCCAGCGCCGGGCCGGAGCCCCTGGCGCCCAGCGGGGCCTCCTGCATGCAGCGCTCCGTCTCCGGCGCGGCCTCCGCCTCTTACCCGATGTCGTACGGGCACGGCGGCGGCTACGGCCAAGGGTACCCGGCGCCGCCGCCGCCGCCCCCGCCGCACTCCTCGTCCTACTTCAGCGGGGTGGACTGCGGCTCCTACCTGCCCATGCACGCGCCCCCGCACGCTCACCAGCTCAGCCCGATGGCGCCCTCGAGCCTGGCGGGCGCGCATCCCCACGCCCACCACCCGCTCAGCCAGGGCTCCAGCCACCACCACCACCACCACCACCATCACCACCACCAGCCTGGCTACGGCGGGCCCGGGCTGGCCTTCAACTCCTCCGACTGTCTGGACTACAAGGAGCCGGCCCCGACCGCCGCCGCCGCCGCCTCCTGGAAGCTTAACTTCAACTCCCCGGACTGCCTCGACTACAAAGACCAGGCCTCCTGGCGCTTCCAAGTCCTGTGAGGTTTGCCACGGCCCCCGCCCCACCCCCCACGTGCTTCTCGGTTCCTCGGGACGGCCTCTTCTTCGCCTTGCAAACGCGCCCCGTCGCTCGCCTCAGCCTTTGCTCTCCCGCGCGTCTGACCCGTGGGCGAAAGCAGCCTTCGAAAGGAAAGACGCTGCGAGCAGCCGTTTGAATAGCCCGCCGCTTCCAGCTCCTTCCCCGCCGCCGAATCTGGGCCGAAGGCTGCTGGGTCAGACCTGCTGCCCTTCCTGGACGGCGCCGCCTCTACCCCGCTGAGTTGACTCCTGAGGTGTTATTTATTCGCTCCCTGGGATTATGTTCAGGATCGTCATTTTTTTTTTGTTTGTTTGTTTTTTGTTTCGAAGCAGAAGACGACTTTAAATTGAGATTCATCCTTCTTCTCCCAACCGGCCCTTTTGGCCAGCTCGGTAGCTTTGTGACGCTGGCTCGCTCGCTCATGTGCGTGGAAAAGACAGGAGAGTGGACGCGCCTTTTCCTTCCTGGCCGACGGCAGACTTCGTGTATAGATCTTCACACCGCCCTCCCCCGTCCCGTTCGAGGACCCCCGCACCCACCCACCCCCGCCAAGTTCTCTCTGTAGGTTTATACTGCAAAAAAAAAAAAAAAAAGCGCTAGGAGTGTACATATAGGGTTTAGCGAGATCCATTCCAGCGACCCTTTTTAATGAAGGAGCTGAAGGCGAGCGCTGGAGGCTCTTCAGGTCGGAAGGGGACCTTCTCCCATAGCCTCCCCTCTCCTCTTACCCTCGTTGGGAGGGGGGAGGGGGAAAGCGATTCCCCGACGGAGTTGGAACTGGGCAGCAGGGGCGACGCGCTCGCGAGAGGGGCAGGGGAGGGTGGGGAGCGGAAGGCGTGGAAGCGCGGCGGTGGCACAGCCGGTACGGGTTCGCCAGTGCAGCATCGGCTGGACCCGTCTCCACACCTGGTCAGGGGTCTCCGGACGGGTTTTTGGCCCGCTTGGCTCTGGGGGGAGGGGAGGGGAAGTCAGAGAGAGGGCAAAATGTAAAGTTGATAATTTACTCCGTTAATCCAACAGTCACCTGTTGACATGTAAGGCAAATCCTACCCTTTATCTACATATCCCGACAATAAAATTCAAACTGACGAAACCCCCCCAGTCTCTGTTATCCTTCCCGGGGGGTACAAGGCAAGGAAGAGGCGGGAACTGCCTTCCCGTTAGCTGAGCTTCTCTGCTGGCCTTCGCTTGGGTAGGAAAGGGGCAGATCGCTGTTACTTCCAAGAGCAGCAGCAGCAGCGGCGGCGGCGAAGGGGGAGTTGGCCCGCTGCTCTGAGTCTCCCTGAGCTGCTTTTTAATGTCTGTAATTGGCTTGGCGTCCAACCAAAACTTCGATGGGTCACATACGCAGTGAAAACGGTGTGATCGGCCACCTCCCCTGGCTCTTTCTGCAAAGTTAACCAGAGCGCACCTTCCTCAGAGACCGGAGAAGAAAATGAAAGGCCCCCTGTAGTTGGGCGGAAATATTTCCACCCTAATTGCTTCCAACCGCTCCCTCTCTCCGTCACAGGACAAACGGGCCGGGCCCCCCAAAAAATTGCTAGAGCTGCGCTGGCCGTGACTTTCTGTAAATCCTCTCTCTCGCGCGCAATTGTCTTGGCCCCTTTTCTTCCTCTGGACACTTGGCAAGAGTTTCTGGGAAGTGAATATTTATGAAACTTAAGGACTGTTGTAACCCTGTCACTCTAGGCTGAACACAAATGTCAAGGGCAAAAGCGGAATCTATTAGCTAGTGAAACGGAATGATTAGAAATATCCCCTGCTATGATATCAAAGGAAATTCAAAGGACGTTTAGGATTTGGTAAGCAATGAGGAGGGATCGCGGTTAATTCCACTACCATTTCGTGCTCACCATAGTAAGACTGCAAATCATTTTCACTAATGTCGGTGGTGACTCTTAACAATACCTTTGTGTTCACCCTAAGAAAACCCAAAAGGTCTTTGGCCAGGGTGGCACTTTTTAGGCGGTAAGTCCCACTAGAATTAATCTATAACCTCAGCCTAAATTGTTTAAAATGTGAGTTTAAGTGTAAGATTCAACTGCTGGAAAAGACAAACAAGAGACTTAATCGCATTTTTTAAATAAAATAAATCTATATCTTTGTGCTGAATGCACGTATAATATTACAACTGGAAATACATACTTTTTTCCTTCCTAAAAAAGCAAGTTGGCTAAAACTAACTGGTATAAAATAAAAGGCAATGGAGGTAGGGATTAAAATACAATATGTCCAATCAAAATACAGTGAGAGAGAAGTTATACTAGTAGTCCAAGCCAGAATAATACAAGATTTCCCTTCTGTTTGAAAACTTTTTTTCATTTTTTTAAATTCTAAGAAACAAAGAGAAAATTTTACCTGGGTTACTTTAGATTCAGGTGAAACTAATTCTAGGTTAAAAAAACTTTTTTTTTTTTTGCTCTCATCATATCTATTAGTGTTATAGAGTTGTTTTTCCCACTCCTGGAATGGGCTGAAGTTTGGGATAAATGTTTCTTTTCTTTTCAATAATAAGTGATTATTTTATTCTCAATTATAATTAAAAGAATTATTCCGCTTGGGTAGCGAAAATGATTACTTATATAAACAATGGTTGGGGAAGGAAGGCTAGAGTGGAGGCAATACTTCACATCCCCGTCTGAAGCTCAAGGTAGGGGTTTGTTATTGGGGGTGGGAAGAGAGGGGGGGTCCTGTTACCGGAAACGGAAGATGCGCCCTTCTGAATCGGTCTTTAAGCAGAGCCTCTCCCCACACCAGGATGAATCCCCTCAGACCAGGAATCCCCGGCGGCTCTCCAGATGGGAGTCAGCTTTAACGGCCAACGTTTTTGATTCCTTTGGACTTGGAAAAAGTGAAATCCAGCGCGTGGAGAGCCGCAGGAGCCTAACAACCTTTCGCTCAGCGCTGGCACGCCAGCCTTTCTTAGACGTGCAGCGCGGGGCGACCCCGGCGGTATTCTGGACACCCGCTGGGGCGACCAGACGTGAGCACCCTTTTAGGGAAATGGTACGCTTCCCCCCCCCCTCACCGGTCCCTTTTCAGGGAGAAAGAGGACGCAACTGAGCACGAGGGCCTTCAAAGTCTCCTGCTGAAGCCCCTGGAAAGAGGCCGCCTCCTTTCCTGCGTACGCTTTTCCTTAGCCAGGCTAGCGGGGCAGAAAGCCGGGTGGCTGCGGGGGTTAGGAAACGGCTGGAGGGCTCAGTTGCCAGGGCAACAGGGGTGCGCGACACATTCCCTGCCGCCAGGCTTCTGCCGGGATCCGGTGCAGGCTCAGTGGGGGAGAAACCGACAAGGGGGTTTCGCGCCTTGCTAGACCAAGGCGGCCTCTGCCACGACACCAGAGCGCCGGAAAGACCGTTTTAGGCCCCTTTGCAGTAGCAGGTGACCGGACCTTTTCCTCTCTAGGAAATGGCGAGTAAACAAATCTTCGGAGCATGGGCAGAGCGCTAATTCCCAATAGGCACCCGTCTTTCACCCGGTTTAAAGGGAGGTGGGCTTTCAAATGGCCTTTTCTGACTTCCCGGACCTCTGATTTAGGCATTAAGCTCTGCCTGACTTTGCACCTTGGACCCTCTCTTTCTCCTCCGCCCAGTGTCTTCGAGGGGGGTGGCGGTGGATGAATTGTTGCAGAAGCGCAGAAACGTCAATATAATTAGCATAGTCGTTTAGCGTGGTTGGGCTATCCCTCGGAGAGCAGCTGGACTGAATGCCGCCTTCACTCATCCTCCGATCTTGCACGCTGGGGAAAAAAAAAAAGTCACAGGACTGCCGGGAACGGAGCCTGGATGTGCCTCATCCCACCAAGGTCTAGGGTTTTGCAATACTTCGGCAGACCTCACACCTCCCACGCACGGCCCTTGGAAGCTAATAACGTAATTACTGTAAATCACACGTCTATGATATTTTTAACGGGACAAAATGAGAGTTCTGCCGTACTAAGGATATACCTCCCCACTTCTGGGGTGGGAGAGAATCGACGAGCGAAACGTCTTTCCAAAGGCCACCGGAAACCCGGTTTCCTTCCCTCGATCCTTCCCCCTCCTCCTCTCCTCAAGCGAAGGCAGCTGCTCTAAGCCATTGGCTGAAACTCCCCGGGTTGTCTGAACCGATCCAGCTCCGAGTATTTACCGTGTCTCACTAGGGGTTGCTGCCTCTTAGGCACTATGCTCAGTTAGGGTCTTACTGGATCGTTGACTCCGTATGAAAGAAGAGGGGGGGGGGAGAGTTTGAATCGGTTTCCTCCCTCTCACCTCCCCCCCCTTTTCCCCTGCCCGAGAAGCGGCTGCGAGAGGAGTTGTTTAGCTGGCTCAGGTAGGATTAAGCCACCAGACTGACTGGGGAAGCAGCGGTGCTCAGGTGCCGGCATCTCGCCGCGGTGAAGGGCGGGCGGAGGGCGGACGAGAGAGCCACGCAGCCCCTTTCGTTTCGAGGGCTGAGAGGGAAAACGCGTGGAGGACGGCGGCGTTTGGCTCTGAGCACGCGAAAGAGAAGGGCCATCGGGAGAAAGCTGCGCGGCAGCCTCTTTTACTTCCAGCAAAGGGAGGAAGGCGCTTTCTCGGCTGCCGCGCGGATCGGCCGAGGTTGTTCCTCGCAGCGGTCCCGCCCCCCGCGACTCCTGGGGCAGTTTAGACCTGGTAATCGCTCTCTTTAGTAGGAGGGAAGCCCGCCAGTCGAGCACCCGGCCGTCCCTCCCTCCCTCCCCGCCGCTGCCTGGCGGAAGATTCCAACGCCCCGCTCGGGTAGGTGTTGCAAGAGGCCGATAGGAGCGTGCGAGGAGCCGGGCTGCTGCCGGGCGAACCCGAAGCGGGACCGCTTTTCCACACCTGCAACGTAATTGAAAGTTCTCCCGGGAGCAGCCGTCTTCTTCCTCCCCCCCCCCAAAAAAAACACCCAGGCGGGTCACGTGGCAGCGGGCGAGCAGTCGCGAGAGGCGGGCGCTGGAGAGACCAGGAGGCCTCGGGCGGGCCAAAGGGCGTTTCTTTCTGGCCTGGGAGAGGCCCTCCGGGAAGCCGGGCCGACGGGAGGCGCGAGCGCGAGGTGTCGGGCTGCCCGAACAGCTGCCTGCGCCCTTCCTCGCGCTACCTTTTTTTCGCCGACTCAGCCCGGCCCGTGCCAAGAGTTGCGGCACAACCAAGGGGAAGTCGCCGCCACCGCGGTGCCACCGCCGGCGAGGCAAGGGCGTTCGGCGCTCCTCCAGCGCGCCCGCGATTGGGAATCCTCCCCCGCAACCCCCCCCCCGAGGCCGAGTGGCTGAGAGTTCATTGGGCGCCTGGCGGAGAAGCGCAACTTGCTCGCTCGAGAAAGCCCGCGCAGAGAATCGCTGCTGCCTGTTTTCTTCCGGCTCTTCTGCACGGCGGGGCGGAAGCAGCGGTTCATTGCTCTGCTCGCGGCGAGGAAAAGTTGCGGGACAGCGGGCGGTTCAGACGAACGGGAAATTGCGTTCCGCGGAAACGGTTTATGTCAAGGGTTCTAGAGAGCGCGTGGCTCAACTCCAGCGAACTTAGCAACCTAACCTCCGTCCCTCCCTCGTTGGTCGCCGTGCATCCGTGTTGCGGACCTTCTTTGCCCAGGTTCCCTCGGAGGGATTCTTTGGTTAGTACTGGCCGAGAATGGTGGCGGTTGGCTAAGCAGAGTCCAGGCCCGAAGGCTCCCAAACTTTCGCGCCATAAAACTTTTCGAAAACGTTTCATGGGCAAACATTAAGCAGATTTCCCTCCCAAATCACTACCAAGCTGCATTAATTACCCATTGGCATAATTTAATGCCACTACAGTATAAAATAAGACAAGCGGAAGGACAAATGCCTGTGAAGTGGAGTCAACATTTCAACCACCGGAGTTTCTTCTGCAGTTCTGTTGAGTCCGCCAATCTGTAAATTCTCTTTATATTGGCATAAATTCATTTGCCTAAATTCAAGAGGCCAAGAGACCCCTTGCTATTTTCCGTGGGTGTGAATGTGCATTTGTCTTCAAGGAACTCGAACAGAGTATCGCTGTGTATTCCTAGGTTTTCTGTGTTTGAATTTGAACCAGGATCCAGTTATATTACTGTATGTGAAAGAGGCCAAGGCTACTGCAACCAGAACCGAAGTAC